GAACTCCGGAAGGGAGAACTCGAAGAGAACTCCGAAGGGAAACTCCGAAGGAGAACTCCGACGAGTAACTCCGAAGGAGAACTCCCGAAGGAGAAACTCCCGAAGGAGAACTTGAAGAGAACTTTGAAGAAAACTTGAAGAGAACTGTGAAGGAGAACTTTTGAAGGAAACTTTGAAGGAAAACTTTGAAAGGAAGAACTTTAAGGAGAACTTTTGAAGGAGAACTTTGAAGGAGAAAACTTTGAGGCAGAACGTTGAAGCGAGAACTTAAGAGACTTGAAGGAGAACCTTTGAAGAAACTTTAAGGAAACTTTGAAGGAGAACTTTGAAGGAGAACTTTGAAGGCAGAACTTTGAAGGGAAAACTTGAAGGAGAACTTTGAGGCAGAACTTGAAGAGTAAACTTTGAAGGCAGAAACTTTGAAGGAAGAACTTTGAAGGAGAACTTTTGAAGGAGAACTTTGAAGAAACTTGAAGGAGAACTTTGAAGGAGAACTTTAAGGAAACTTTGAAGGAGAACTTTGAAGGAGAACTTGTGAAGTGAGAACTTTGAAGGAATTGAGGAGAACTTGAAGGAGAAGCTTTGAAGAGAACTTTGAAGAGAGAACTTTGAAGCGATAACTATTGAAGGACGAACTTTGAAGGAGAACTTTGAAGGAGAACTTTGAAGGCAGAACTTTGAAGAGAACTTTGAAGAGAACTTTGAAGGAGAACTTTGAAGGAAACTTTGAAGGAGAACTGTGAAGGAATAACTTTGAAGCAGAACTTTGAAGAAACTTTGAAGAAACTTTGATAGAGAACTTTGCAAGGAGAACTTTAAGGATAACTTTAAGGCAAATTTGAGGAGAACTTTGAAGGACACCATATGAACAAAAACATCAGGGAAATCAAGAAACAAAACTTGAAACAAGACTTGCAACAAACTTTGAAAAAAATTTATAAAAACATTGCAAATAAATGAAACTTGACCATGATTGATGCACACTAAAAAGAAATTGGTTATTGCTACATATGCAATTAAGGATCAATCCTCTGAATAAATTACTTTCTACAGAAACTTTGACATAAAACTCTCAGGGAAACTTTACAGAAACTAGAAGCATTCAAATCTCTGTAAAAAGTTACATGCACAAGCCTGATAAATGGTAAGTTCAATTAACTTGATAAGGTAAAACCACAGTGAAATAAATTCACCACCTTGCAAACTTAACTTCTCAAAGAAACAATTCAACTGTAGGTAGACATTGCTAAGCAAATAAGAAACTTATTACTAATGAAATTAAATTAGACAGAAACAAGAACTTCAGAAAAGTGCCAAATAGAACTTTGAAGGAGAACTTTGAAGGAGAACTTTGAAGGAGAACTTTCTATGCTTAGGAACTTCAGGTAACTAAAGGAATTAACTTTGAAACTAGGACTGCAAAAATTTTGAAGCACAAACACACTAGAACAAACTTTGAAACTAAATGAAACTCAACAAACATGAATATCGACACTAAGGTAATCTATGGTATGGTATATGATACATGGTTTACATAAGCAATTAAGGGATCAAACCACTGAAAACTTTAAAGACAACTTTGCACACTGAAGAAAACTTAAACTTGTAAGAAAGGTTAAATTTGCACATACTAAGAAATGGTA